GCCATGAGTCAGTTTATTTGACAGCAATTGAGTAATTTTGGATGTCCTTTCCCAGATTAGTGCTTATGGATTTTATACAGCATTTTTCTAAGGCATCCATTCATTACAGAATTAAACATGACCATATATTGTGTACTACATGTGAAGAAGTAATGAACAAGAAATAAATATCTAAATATATTGTGTTAAGAATAATTCACTATTTCTAAATATCAACTTTTGTTCTAAATCATATTAGTAAGTGTTTTAGTGTAAAAAAAAACATTTATATAATATATTCATAATATAATACACACACAAATTAAAAAAAATTCTTATTTTCAGGAACGAAGACCTTTCATGGTTTCCATAAAGAGCCAAATACAAGTTCCACAGTGATAAGTCTTTCAAGTACAGATTGTCAATGATTTGTCTGTTTAATCTGATGCAAGCTTAACATATAGATTGTCTCATCCATTTGCAGCCAAGATCCTATTTACACTGTAGAAATATCTTCAGATGACCTGCTAAACTTTCATGCTGATATATTTTTCCATTCCTTTTAATGACAGTGAATTTTGTAGCAAAAACAAAATCCTGATACTTGTGTGACCTAATACAAAATCCTTTTGTCTTGGTTTTTCTCTAATCCCAAGTTGGTGAGTGTAATTACCATTTGTGAAATTTAAATTTCCTCTGTAAAAAACAACTTTCACACCTTTCAGTCCATTTTTGTATATTAAGTTGGATTAAATCAAACACATGTATACTTGAGCTTGCTGCTTCTCTTAGAATTGCCTTCATCATAAGATGTGGTTTCTTCTATTTCTGAAAAAAAGTGTAGCATTGGTTTTTACATTAGATTTAGCAGGGGCAGTCCCATGACTCACTTTAGTGATAGTTTTATCCTTTTTTTTTTTGTCTGGTGTTGCAAAAACTTGAGAAATGTGACCTTTTAACCTTCTAAATCTGCCTTCCTTTTTGATCAACCATATTTTTTCTTAAGTTCACTGTATAAATACTTTTTAACCTATTAGATATTTTGAACTGTTTTTACAAACTTTTTAAAATAACTTTATAAGAATATTTTTATTCTGTTCACTTCTAGAGAAAATGACAAATTTCTGTATAAAAAAAGAACTTGAAGCTTCGTTTCTCTTCTCTCATTGGTTACCCACAGTAGAACATAGGGGAACATAGGTGGCAACATCCACAGCCCATAGCGAATATTTGTTTGAACTTCAGGCGAAGCTACTCCAGAGCTAGCTGTCACTAATATAGAAGTGATAGGGTAGAGGGAAGGCAGATAGGCAACATCACCCATTGGGTTACTCTTTCACAAATGAAAAGTGGAATTCACCGTCACATTATAACATAACAATGTTTTGGGACAACATTGGACCTATTTGCCCATCTCAGCTGTTCCATCCTCTAAACTAAATTCAAATTATTGGAAAAACAAATATTAAAGCTTGCCCTTATCATTCATATACTTACCATGCTTTTTCTTAAACTCACTTTAGTTTACTGCCTTTACAACATCCAATAGCAACCCATTTCAAAGGCCAACCATCCTTCTAGAAAAATAAAACTGTTCTAGCTGAAGATGACTCCTACCTTGCCAAAGTTTAAATTTGTGTCCCATAGTCCTACTATTCTAGCTGTTAAATATGAAAAAAGATGATGCATCCAGACCATCAATTCCCATTACAATCTTAAACACCTCAATCAGATCCCACCTAACTCTTGGTTTTTCAAAAGAAAACAATATGAGAGATTTCAGCCTCTCCTTGTATGACAACCCCTCTATTCCAGGCACCATTCTAGTAATCCTCTCCAACAATTTAAAGTCTTTCCTAAGGTAAGAAGCCCAAATGTGGCCTAATCAGTGATCTGTAATATGAAATTATAACCTCTTTCAGACTTGTATTCAATATTTTTGTAGATATAACCTAAAATACTATTTACCCTACCACTAGCAACAACACACTGCTTGGATAGCTTTAGAGACTGATTGACTATTACACCAAGATCCCTTTCCTTCATAACACTATTAAGGTTATTTCCCATCCAAATAATAATTCAAATTATGATAACCCACATGCATATCTTGTATTTTTTATTAATATAAACTCATCTGACATTTATTTGCCCAACTCACTAAATGATCTAAATTCTTTTGTAAATCAACAGCATCCTCCTCACAGCTAACAATGCCCAAGACCTTAATATCAGCTGCAAATTTAAGTTATTTATTGACTATTCCTTCATCTATGTCATTGATGTAAATCAAATTGAGCAAAGGTCCTGAGGTAACCCACTTGTGACATTAATCCAGTTTGACTGAACCATTTGTAACAACAGTCTGTTTTTTCCATCCAATTTGCTAATTTGTCCCTCGCACCTATAGAGCTAATTTTTTTACAAGCCTTTTATGTGGAACTTATGAAATGCTTTCTGAAAATCCAGATACACCAAATCTACACCCTTACCCTCATCTACATAAGTAGTAGCATTTTCAAAGAATATTAAAATATTTTCCCTTAGTGAAACCAGTGGACTATCCAATAAAATTCTAAACTTTGTTAAAAGACTTTGCAAAGCATGTTTTAAGACTTTCCAAAACTGATATAAGACTAATAGGTCTATAATTACTGAGACAATTTTTATCACCTCCCTTGAAAAGAGGAGTTACATTAGCTAACTTCCAATCCTCTGGTACTTACCCACTATTCAAGAACTGACAAAAAAATAGTAGCAAGTGGCTCACATATCCAATCTGTAACCTCTTTCAAAACCCTTGGGGAAATATTATCTGGACCAGGAGTCTTATCGTTTTTAAACTTCCCAAATTTTCCTTAACTAGCACAGAAATACTGCAGTCATCTTGTTTCCATCTATCAACTGTTCAAGATATGGAGTACTGCTTAAATCTTCA